GTTCAGACTCCTTGCTTGCATCGCATCATTTGACCTACGGGCGTCAAGTGACATTCTTTTGCAAGGGCCTTGCCCCCCCCCCCCTCCCCTAATGTTGGGAAGGGTCCCCAATGTTGGCTTGATTCTCCCCCCCCCCCCCTCCCAATATTCTTTGGCTGGAAAACTACAAAACGTATGTAAAAGATGACCATAACACAAAGACTATCTTCTTTGATCTTTCTACGTGGTGACGTCTCGTACCACTCTCACAACAAAAAGTCATCGTTGTTCTCACCACCAGAGACAAATCGCAACAGCTGAGCGGATAAACGATGCAATAAACTTCACATATCTGGGACCACAAAATACGCATTGCTATGTGGGGTCAAAGTGAAAAGCTCTGAAATGTGGGGTGACCTGAGTCCCCCATGGCTGACCCCGTCTCCGTTCCCCACAACCAAAATGCGTGCCGCCCCCCACGACCGCCATAGACGAGCGCCACCGGCACCCTGAAGTGGCCTCTAGAGGGGGGCCTTCACTTGCCGATCAGAAGAGACGCGTGCGTCCGGTGCCTGCTGCTTGGATCTACCCCTGCTTGGCTTCTATGCTGCTTATATGAAAGACTTTTCATAAGTTATAGAAAAATTCGAAGCGTCTGAAATTTTCTTAGACGTCCTGCTTGCCACAATAATCGTCCCATGAATCACCCAGCGTGTTTCGCAGCGGAGAGAACCTGTATGCAAGATATGGAATTAGGATGCCCTTAAGTGCATGCATATCAAAAGGAAAACATAGATGTGATGACTGTCGACGAAGACTGCCGATATGGAAAGTTCTTGAAGACGGAAAAGCGTAGGGAAATATTCCACAGTGGTGCTTATCGCAACTGGGCGCGAAATGGGTGGCATATGACACCTGTTCGCTGTTTGTGTAACGGTGTCTCCTGTCACAGTCTCAAAACTGAGTTAACTGACATTCTATCTTATTATCGATAGGGTAACAAGTGAAACCCCGAGCCTGTGTACCTCGAAATAATCTCTGGTCGAACGGCCAAAGACCAGGGGTGTCACTTTTCAGCATTTTTGCCGCCCCCCATGCTAATCTGAGGCGTCTATGCAATGCTTTTCTTAGCAGCCCTCAATGCATAAGGACACAAAATAAGAGCCGAACCGAGGAAATGCCGAAAATATCCCTGAAATTCCTGTATATTGGGTACCTGAAGACATTGCCATTAGTTCCACGCTCACTTTGTATCACATGATACCATGTGGGTACCTTATGTGCTTTTGTCATTCGATTGTTAAAAAGGTCTGATATATTAACCTGCAGCTGAGTGGCAACGCCTCACGTCTGCATGTTAATGAGCATGGGGATCCCCTGATAGACAAGGCATGTTCCTTGCACCAAACTCCGGGAGCAGCAGACGGAGCCGGTCGTAGACACCTGTCGGTGACGCCGGCAGTCCACCTGCCCTGATACGCCCTCCCATTTGCTGCGCCCCACAGTGGCTGACACCGCCAGCTCTGACCCTCGCTTCTGCCGGCGTGACCCACCCCGTACCTCTTGTTGGTCGCAGGAGCGAGGGAAACTGTAAAAAACGAGTGCTTAGAGGTATTTTAGGAGTTTCTTTTCACGTACCTACCGCGGCAAGCCTTGTAATAGATTTATTCAGTGGTTGGGAGGTGGACTCGAGTCCCCAAAGTTCCCCTCCCAACAACGCGATATTCCCCTCGCCTGTGTTCGGTCGTGTCCCAGCCCAGCGTCCTATGCTCGGTCCTCGTCCCAGCGCCCTGGCTGTTGTGCCGGCACCGGTCGGCCGGGGCCCTTGGCCCGTCCCGGCGCGCGGTTCGGGTAGGGTGGCTGCATTCTTCGGACGGGTTGGTGCGTAGGGCGGGCACTCCGACCCATAGGCCGCCAGACCCTGCCGAGCCCGCGCCGAGGTCGCCAGGGCTGTAGACTCGCTTGCCAACTCGCCTGGGTCGGTTCCTGAAAGTGTTAGCGTTCGCGTACTAGGTGCGTCGGTGAGTGTGCTTTGCACCTCATCATTTCCGTTCCATGCGTTGAAGCCTTGTGTGGCCGGAATCTTTTTTAATTGATTTGATGTGTTTGATACGACCGGTAAACTAAAGGGCCTCCAGTGCCGTGCGATATATATATATATATATATATATATATATATATATATATATATATATGACATGGTTCAAAATAACGGATGCCCTCGGTGGTACAGGTATCAGTTTCATTTGGGAGAGTGAAACCCGTTCACCAACCGCAGCACACAGTCGACAGGGAACGGTGCTGCCTATGCTGAAAGGCTTCCATCCCAGTCTAAAACAGGTTCATTGGTTGGGCTGTGACTGGCTGACCTCATGCAAAACTAAAGCAAACCATACAGGCACCATGCCGAGGACCAGGGCCTTAGGTGTGTATTGCACCTCCTTGCCGAGGACCAGGGCCTTAGGTGTGTATTGCACCTCCTTGCCGAGGACCACGGCCTTAGGTGTGTATTGCACCTCCTTGCCGAGGACCAGGGCCTTAGGTGTGTATTGCACCTCCTTGCCGAGGACCAGGGCCTTAGGTGTGTATTGCACCTCCTTGCCGAGGACCAAGGCCTTAGGTGTGTATTGCACCTCCTTGCCGAGGACCAGGGCCTTAGGTGTGTATTGCACCTCCTTGCCGAGGACCAGGGCCTTAGGTGTGTATTGCACCTCCTTGCGATCTTACATCGGAAGACCGATGCAACGAAGTGGGATCGGTAGACGCCTGACAGGACGTGGCAATCTGTAGTGCCCAGAACAGGATCAAACTCTGACGTCTCAGGATATGCCCGACACCACCGTGCCACCGTGCGTGATCCGCCAATGTTCGCAGCTGATTTTCGACCTATGTAGAAAAGATCCCATCTATTTATGTTTCTGTCTGAACGGCAATAAACTGGCCTTCAATTGTGTATTGGGACTTAAAACAATCAAAGGTGTTATGCTTTAAGCACATGGGTTCAAAGGTCACAATATGTCATTATATGCATCTAACTGACCTTAAATGTCATGTTGATCCATGTTTAATTTCGATAGAGGCTGTCTGTCAGTCCCTGACTGCAGACCATCAGCCCCTGACTGTAGACCGTCAGCCCCTGACTGTAGGCCGTCAGTCCCTGACTGCGGACCGTCAGCCCCTAACCGTCATTATCCAACAAGATCAAGGAGGCGGTAAATCTGGCATGTATATCGATTGTTGGCGTTCCAATCCTTTTACCGCCCATAATTAAGCTTTGCTGTGCATTTTTTCAGACAATATGCTCCTTAGGCTGTGTTCGCTAACGTAAACGGAAATATGGGTTTCGTGACTTCATTGCGTTTTTTCGTCTGTTTCTATTTTTTTACCGGTACGACGCATGGCCTTCAAACTCGCAGGATCGTGTTTCCGTTGCATATTTCATCATAGACATCCAATCCAATTTCATCATTTCATCATTTATCATTTCATTTTCAATTTCAACATTCCATCCAATCAGAGGGGAGTGCAGTGTTATCATCCGTTCGAATTGTGAAATGATCCCACTGTCAGCCCCTGACCGTCATCATCGAACAAGATCAAGGAGGCGGTAAATCTGGCATACATACCGATTGTTGGCGTTCCAATCCTTTTACCGCCTATAATTAAGTTCCAGCACATATCAGACTTTTTAAAAAGAAAATTGTTGTCGTGAGTATTTAAAGATTACTTTGACACTTAAAGTTCCCAAGAAGACAGTCAAAAGGTGCGGGGAATCATTTTAAGAAATGATAAAGTTCGGATAAGACAAACCAACATATAGTCACTGCCATCTACCCAACATTATCTCAGAGTTGTCCATTTGTCAAATTTCGAACTATTCTGAAACCGTTAATTCGTCAAGTGGGGCAGCAAATTTTGCCAAACATCACCCCTGGCCGTGCATTCCTAACTGCGACCGGCCTGCCCGCAGTGTGACGGTTAGAGTACTGTGGCGGAGGGAAAAATACCTGAAGTTGCGCACGGAGAGTGCGATTATATGCCTTTGGTACCGCTGGTATGGAGCTGTCACCTGCCAGTGTATCCCCTTTGTCCGAAAACGGTGTCCATTTTTCCTTCAACCCTCCGAAGGCGTCTCACTCAATCCCGACGGCCAGCGGCATCGGCGATTTGCGAAGCTACAGCACCCAAACTAAAACATGTATGTTCTTGTACGGCGGGTAGCACCACGCGCATGCGATGCCATTGTGGGAGCACTGCCAACAATATAAATCGCCCATCGGCCGACATGACTGTTATGTTCAACTCTTCCGTTGACGGCTCATTACCAACCGCGGTGTGCCTGCCATTGACATGATGGCTACGATACGGCGACCCGAGAGGAATATTTGCAATCGCACGCGAGGAGTGACACTGCGTGCATTCGATAACATAGGTATAGGGCTGTCAGCTTCCATTGAAACACACATGTCCCACGACGGCATTCATTCCTTTCGTTCGACCTTCCTGACAGGTTGTCACTGAATGTGCCGCATTCAGCACAAATGTAGAAACGATGTCACTGTGGAAGCGCTGTCGACCGGCAAGGGAAGTCGCTCTTCGGGCGACAAGGCCTTTCGTGTCCAAATCACCACTGTATCGCCAATTGCCGCCGGCGTGCCCGCGGAGTGGTGGGCAGATGACGGAGACACCAGAAAGCATTCCTATAATTGCGCGCAAAAGAACGTGGCCGTGTGCGCACAGCGCTGGGAAATGTTGTACAGCTTTCAGTACAACGCACTTGTCCGATTACGCCATTATTCTATTGGGTCGACCCTGAAATTGCAACGCTGAAAAAACGATGTTATTGTGACCAGCAATGAAAATCGCCTTGGGGCCAAGGTCACATCTTTTGTTTAAACCACATCTTATGGGATCATCACTTGCTGCAGCCGGTCTAGCCGTAGAGTGCTGGCTAATACATCAGCCAAGAAAAATTGAAACAAAAAAGCGGAATAAAAATTAAACGAACGATTTTCTACCGCACTGTTGTATTACCAAGTCAGTAACAAGCCAGTGAACATACGCTCCTTGCCGCCAGGAAGAGCGCACTTACCCTTTCCGCTGTCACGTATCTGGTACATGAGACACCAACGCAGACATACTGACGAGGTTTATCCCGAATCAATGATTAGGCCATGACACTACACAACATGACCATCTCGTGTACACCTGAAAAGACAGTCCGATCTCCCAGTCCGACAATCCGCCGCGTTCCTGACACTGGCACAGGGCCACCACACTCCTGACGCTGGCAGAGTCGCCGCGTTCCTGACGCTGGCAGAGTCACCGCGCTCCTGACGCTGGCACAGAGCCTCCGCGCTCCTGACGCTGGCAGAGTCGCCTCGCTCCTGACGCTGGTACAGAGCCTCTGCGCTCCTGACGCTGGCAGAGTCGCCGCGTTCCTGACGCTGGCAGAGTCACCGCGCTCTGACGTTGGCAGAGTCGCCTCGCTCCTGACGCTGGCACAGAGTCACCGCGCACCTGACGCTGGTACAGAGCCTCCGCGCTCCTGACGCTGGTACAAAGCCGCCGCGCCCCTGACGCTGGCACAGAGCCTCCGCGCTCCTGACGCTGACACGGAGCCTCCGCGCTCCTGACGCTGGTTCAGAGCCTCCGCGCTCCTGACGCTGTCGGGCAGTGCGATACTGTGTGGTACAGGCCCGCCGTGTCCAGGGGCGGGCGCTGAGCCCCGCTAATGGGGCCGCATGCCGCCCGTCTTCCAGACGGTGTCCTTGAGCCAGGCGGCCTCGGGGCGGTCCAGCAGCTCGTCCAGCACATCGTGCAGCTGGAGCTGGCTGGCGGCGCGATACTGCAGCTCCAGCGTCTTGGTGGCCAGCGCCAGCGCCCGCAGCCGGGCGGGCGCGTACTGACGGCCCGATGTCCGGATGCTGCGCGTGGGAGAGAGAGACGAGCGTATCATCAGCGGCGCGAACCCACTGGCCGCGGCCGGACGGCCATGTCCGTCACAGTCCGATGGCAACGTCGTGAACAATTCCCAAACGTTTTCACGATGCTACGAACGTCAACATCTCGAGACATCAGACGTTTTGACCGCCATCGGCCTGGTCTCCAATGGAGTCCCAACAACCACACGCCAACGCTGACGTCGCCTCGCGACCATACAGCTTTTGCCAGGGCGCCGGAAGGTTCCGGACCTCTTACCGTTTGAGCAGCGCGGCAGTCACCGTCTCGTCCATGTGTCGCTCGGCGGCCAGGTAGTCGGTCAGGTACTGGTCACGACCCAGGCACAGGTACTGGCGGTGCAGCAGCAGCGACCAGTCGACGGGCTGGTCGGGGTAGGCGCCCAGCACCAGACGAGCGGCCGGGCACCTGCCGGTCGGGAGCGGCGGCAGTGGCGCAGCGGTCGGCCCGCGCAGCGGGAGGGAGCGAGGCGCGGCCCAGCGGCGGCGCACGGCGCGGCGGAGCTCCCCAGGTCACACAGACGGTCTCTCTCGCATGCAGCCAGCGCCGCACCGCCGACCGACGGGAGCACTCACGGCAGCTCGTCCAGCAGCAGCTCGTGCAGCTGCTCGCGCGAGCGGCGCAGCAGCAGCGCCGGTCCGCTCGGCAGACTGAGCGCGCCCGAGTTGACGGCGATCTGAAGCGCCACCAGCTGCGCCTGCCGCAGACAGGCGTCCGCCTGCGAGAGCATGTCCGCCTGCCGAGCACCCGTCGGGGACTCAGTCGCCGCCCCGGCCGCGGGGCCGCCCACCGCCCAGCCGATGACGCGGCGGTGGATGCCGCGTTCCCTGACGCTGCCACTGGGCAACAGTGTGTTAATTACGAAGAACAGACAGGGTGCAAAGGTTTGTGAACAGCTCACCTAGGGCTGTGGAGCCAGCCAAATGACAAGCTACCTGCCAGATGAACGAGAAACAGGCTGCCAAAATCCAATGGCTTTATACCGAGGCTGGCAGATGTCGCACCACGCAGCAGGATGACATCACCGAAGTAACGTAACGCTGTTCGTGGTGGTGATTTGTGTTTTAAGGGCGCGTCGGCATCGGGGCCATTTTGCGCCCACTCGATGACGGTTATCTACCTCTGCGACGACGCGATAAGTATGTTGTCAACTGACAACAGGTAGCATCACTGGCGCACTTACACTGAGGGGTGAGTGAAAATAACGTCAAAGTCAATGTGTGCTAAAAATGCGAGTATATCTCCAAGTTCACCACATGGGTCTCGACCGAGTAACCGATGAAGGGGCGCTGGAGGAAAAAATCGTCGCCTCTCCGTCTCAAGGCGCCGACATGAGACGAGCACATGTTCAACAGACAACCGGTCCCCGCATCTATCACACCGTGGCACATCCCTACGCGTCAAGTAAAACGAGTGTGTGGCGTATGTATGACCCAACCGAAGCCTACAAAGGGCGACTTCCTGGAAGCGGCTTCGGCGATGGGAGGATTCCCAATCACCCAGTTGGGGCTTGATTTCCCTGAAAGCGTGGAGATGTTGGTCGAACATGTGCTGCCACGTATTGCGAACGTAATTGGAAATGACTGACTTCAGATCTCGAGCGGGTACATAAATTGGTATTGGGTTTCTCTCACATGCCGCAGCTTTCGCTGCGGCGTCGGCTATTTCATTCCCCATTATTCCCATGTGGCTGGGGATCCACATAAATGTGATACGACAGGAAGTGCTGTCCAGTCATTCCAATTCCTCCCAAATTGAGCGAGTCAAAAATGAGTGGTCACGCGACATCGCCGTCGGGTCTAATGATAACGTAACGCTGTTCGTAACGGTACGTTGTTCCTGAAACGTGGAAGGGGACGCGGAGGAGCAACACGTCACCGGAGAGACGACATGAAGGGACATTCTCGGTCAAACACGGCGTGGCCGGTCGGCACAGCGGTCGCGTCGGACCGGGAGCCGGCAGGGCGCCACCGCCCGGCGCCGCCGCGTCGCCACCGGTCCGGGCTCGCCTCACGTGTCGGTAGAAGGTGGCGGCGTGCCGGTAGGCGTCCAGCGCCTCGGTCAGCTGGCGCGCCGTTTCAGCCGGCTCCAGCGGCGGCGGCTGCAGCAGCGCGTCGGCCGAGCGGCGCCAGTCGGCCGCCGCCTCGGCGTAGTGGCCGAAGCGCCCGGTGACCAGCCGCAGGCAGGCCAGGTCGTCCGGGTGGTGGCGCATCAGGTGGCGGCGCAGGGCGGCACCCAGCCGGCCGTCGCTGACGCCGGCCGTCAGCAGCTGCTCCAGCCGGTCCTCGCGGATCAGCAGCTCGAACACGTACGCCATCTCGTCGTAGCGACCGATGCCCATTAGTAGACGCACCTGTCGTCCAAGCACAAGACACCACCTCACAGCAGTGGCGGCAGAGGCACGTGCCGTCCAAGCACAGGACACCACCTCACAACAGTGGCGGCAGAGGCACGTGCCGTCCCAGCAGAGGACACCACCTCACAGCAGTGGCGGCAGAGGCACGTGCCGTCCCAGCAGAGGACACCACCTCACAGCAGTGGCGGCAGAGGCACGTGCCGTCCCAGCACAGGACACCACCTCACAGCAGTGGCGGCAGAGGCACGTGCCGTCCCAGCACAGGACACCACCTCACAGCAGTGGCGGCAGAGGCACGTGCCGTCCCAGCAGAGGACACCACCTCACAACAGTGGCGGCAGAGGCACGTGCCGTCCCAGCACAGGACACCACCTCACAGCAGTGGCGGCAGAGGCACGTGCCGTCCCAGCACAGGACACCACCTCACAACAGTGGCGGCAGAGGCACGTGCCGTCCCAGCAGAGGACACCACCTCACAGCAGTGGCGGCAGAGGCACGTGCCGTCCCAGCACAGGACACCACCTCACAGCAGTGGCGGCAGAGGCACGTGCCGTCCCAGCACAGGACACCACCTCACAGCAGTGGCGGCAGAGGCACGTGCCGTCCCAGCACAGGACACCACCTCACAGCAGTGGCGGCAGAGGCACGTGCCGTCCCAGCACAGGACACCACCTCACGGCAGTGGCGGCAGAGGCACGTGCCGTCCAAGCACAGGACACCACCTCACAACAGTGGCGGCAGAGGCACGTGCCGTCCCAGCAGAGGACACCACCTCACAGCAGTGGCGGCAGAGGCACGTGCCGTCCCAGCACAGGACACCACCTCACAGCAGTGGCGGCAGAGGCACGTGCCGTCCCAGCACAGGACACCACCTCACAGCAGTGGCGGCAGAGGCACGTGCCGTCCCAGCAGAGGACACCACCTCACAACAGTGGCGGCAGAGGCACGTGCCGTCCCAGCACAGGACACCACCTCACAGCAGTGGCGGCAGAGGCACGTGCCGTCCCAGCACAGGACACCACCTCACAACAGTGGCGGCAGAGGCACGTGCCGTCCCAGCAGAGGACACCACCTCACAGCAGTGGCGGCAGAGGCACGTGCCGTCCCAGCACAGGACACCACCTCACAGCAGTGGCGGCAGAGGCACGTGCCGTCCCAGCACAGGACACCACCTCACAGCAGTGGCGGCAGAGGCACGTGCCGTCCCAGCACAGGACACCACCTCACAGCAGTGGCGGCAGAGGCACGTGCCGTCCCAGCACAGGACACCACCTCACGGCAGTGGCGGCAGAGGCACGTGCCGTCCCAGCAGAGGACACCACCTCACGGCAGTGGCGGCAGAGGCACGTGCCGTCCAAGCACAGGGCACCACCTCACGGCAGTGGCGGCAGAGGCACGTGCCGTCCCAGCACAGGACACCACCTCACAGCAGTGGCGGCAGAGGCACGTGCCGTCCAAGCACAGGACACCACCTCACAGCAGTGGCGGCAGAGGCACGTGCCGTCCCAGCACAGGGCACCACCTCACGGCAGTGGCGGCAGAGGCACGTGCCGTCCCAGCAGAGGACGCCACCTCACAGCAGTGGCGGCAGAGGCACGTGCCGTCCCAGCAGAGGACACCACCTCACGGCAGTGGCGGCAGAGGCACGTGCCGTCCCAGAACAAGACACCACCTCACGTAAGTGGCGCGCCCGCTGCCGGCGCGCCAGGGGGCCGGCCTCAGCCCGTCCGCAACCCCCGCGCTCTCACCATCAGTCGGAAGTCGGTCTTGACCAGCAGCCGGCGGACCAGCAGGCGGGCTCGCGTCAGCACCGAGCTGATGCCCTGCAGGTTCAGGCGAGACGTGTGCGCCGTGTGAGCCGCCACCAGCAGGCCCACCTGACAGTCGTCCCCTGACGGACAGACAGACAGACAGACAGACAGTCAGACAGTCCCCTGACGGACAGACAGACAGACAGACACGTGACAGGCGCGGCCCGACGGCCCGCGCATGAAAGCCGCGACCAGAGTTGCACGACGGCGTTGTTGTCTGACGGTCACAACACGGCAGACACTTCACATTCGTTACCCGACAGATAACTGACAGCTGTCACCCAACGGTCAGAAAAGCACGTGACAAACGTCGGTTGGTCGCTGAACGATATATTGATGAGTGGACCCTGGCCCCATACGGAATAATCGGCCACTGGATGTCACACGACAGACAAACAGGGGACAGCCATTATCAAACATACCACACTTTTTGGCACGCTTGTCAGCCGTCGCCCGACTGACAAGCCACAGACACCATCTGACAGTGACGTGTCAGTCACCCGACAGTGGCGTGACAGTCGTCTGACAGTGGCGTGACAATCGTCTGACAGTGGCGTGACTGTCGTCTGACAGTGGCGTGACTGTCGTCTGACAGTGGCGTGACAGTCGTCTGACAGTGGCGCGACAGTCGTCTGACAGTGGCGTGACAGTTGTCTGGCAGTGGCGTGGCAGTCTGACAGTGGCGTGACAGCCGTCTGGAAGTGGCGTGACAGGCGTCTGGAAGTGGCGTGACAGGCGTCTGACAGTGATGTGACAGTCTCACAGTGGCGTGTCATTCGTCTGGCAGCGGCGTGACAGTCGTCTGACAGTGACGTGGCAGTCACCCGACAGTGGCGTGACAATCGTCTGGCAGTGGCGCGCCAGTCGTCTGGCAATGGCGTGACAGTCGTCTGGCAGTGGCGCGCCAGTCGTCTGGCAATGGCGTGACAGTCGTCTGGCAATGGCGTGACAGTCGTCTGACAGTGGCGTGACAGTTGTCTGGCAGTGGCGTGGCAGTCTGACAGTGGCGTGACAGCCGTCTGGAAGTGGCGTGACAGGCGTCTGGAAGTGGCGTGACAGGCGTCTGACAGTGATGTGACAGTCTCACAGTGGCGTGTCATTCGTCTGGCAGCGGCGTGACAGTCGTCTGACAGTGACGTGGCAGTCACCCGACAGTGGCGTGACAATCGTCTGGCAGTGGCGCGCCAGTCGTCTGGCAATGGCGTGACAGTCGTCTGGCAGTGGCGCGCCAGTCGTCTGGCAATGGCGTGACAGTCGTCTGGCAATGGCGTGACAGTCGTCTGACAGTGGCGCGCCAGTCGTCTGGCGATGGCGTGACAGTCGTCTGACAGTGGCGTGACAGTTGCCGCACGGCGGAACCCTGAGGTGAGCCAGGTGGGACCCCGCGGCCCCCGGCCCGGGCCGACCCGGACACCGGCTGCAGCTCCGAGCTCACCATATCCGTCCGACTCGGGGAACGTGCCGAGGTCCTCGGCCGTGGCCAGCAGCCGGTTGCCCAGCAGCACTGGGTCCGGACACAGCGTCAGCAGCTCCTCCAGCTCCGACCTGCCTGCGGACGGGCAAAGCCAGGCTCACCTCATGCTCACCGCCAATGGCGCCCCGCTCATGGCACTTGAGTATCGGCACAAAAACACGATTTGCATATACACTATTATACATTGTTTCACCATCGCTCAGAGTGGCAAGATGCAGAGTTAATAACGCGTCACGTAATAGTTATCACAGCGCGTACAGATCTACTTTTCACGAAGATGCAACGTGAACGAGACAGATGGGCGGACGGGACACAACTAATTCATTTGACACGATCAAACTCCCCAGGGCCTCCTTTCATAGAACTGGTGGCGTCACTAAGCGCTGTTGAAAGGCTTACGCCGAGAGATTGCCCGACACCGCGCAGCCGCATCCGCGTGACCCTGGGGGAGAAGGAAGGACACCTGAACCCGGCCAATGCCCTGGACCACAGTCACCTCCGCGCCCCGTCCGCGCTGAGAACCGACCTGCCTGGACCTGGTCGATCGCCTGGGCCAGGAGGACTTCCGTGACCTGACTGTCGGGCAAGCTAAGGCCTAGGATCAGGTCGGCGGCCAGTCGGTACCGCCCGGCGCCGGGGGACCCGCGCAGCACCGAGACGAGCAGAAGCAGCGGCTCCTTTGTCAGCACCAGCTCCTGACGGCGCGCGCGCACACGCGCGTCAAGAGACAGGACGACATCGTCACCGCGCGCCATGCTGATGCACGCTAGCACGTTACGAGACGCCTGCCGCAGTCACCCTGTAACTTACACGTCGGCTGTCCCACCAGTAATCCGCATCCGAGAAGAAACAACTCCACAGACACCCCCTAGAAAACCCTGTGGATACCTATAAGGACCATCCACAGCCAGCACTGAGTGGGGCAGCACTAGACTGCTATTGCCAGGAATCCCCCCCCCCCCCCGCCCCTCCAATGAGTGATACAGTATGCGGTGCTCGCCACCGGCGTGCCTGTCCGGCGGCGCTGGCGGCACCCGCACCGGCCGGCTGCCTGACTGCAGGGCTCACCTGGTAGGACATCTGGAGGGCCTGGGCAGCGCGCACGCAGGCCAGCACCCGCTGCGCCAAGGCCTCGCCATGCCGCAGCCCGGCGGCCAGGGAGACCATGTCCGAGAGGCGCGGCTGTGGCAGAGAGCCGCCGTCCCCGCCGTCCGGCGTGGACAACGCTGCGGAGACGACACGAGTCAGGAGGCGGCGACCGTGAGGAGACGCTGGTAAAGAGGACAGCGGTAGAGAGACAGAGACAGAGACGGGGGCAGAGACAGAGACAGAAACGGAAACAGGGGCAGGGACAGAGACAGGGACGGAGAAAGAGACACGGACAGGGATGGGGACCGACACAGCCAGACAGGGACAGAGACAGAGACACTGAAAAAGAGAGACAGAGACAAAGACAGAGAGACAGAAACGAAGGCAGAGAGACAGGGACAGAGACAGGGAGACAGAGACAGAGACAGACAAAGAGAGTAAGAGACAGAGGCAGAAACAGATACAGATGCAGATACAGACAAAGAGCACATGCGGCCAACTTACTGAGACTGTGAGCGTGGCTTTGGGTGAGTGGCCGGCAGACGCTGGCACTGTCAGTGTCCGGCAGTCCGTCCGGCGGCGTCCGGCCCGGTTGGCTGGCAAGCCCGGCCCCGGCGCTGCCCCCAGCACGCGCCACTCCCTGCCCGCAGCGGCCGGTCGCCCCGTCGGTCGGCTGAGACAGGCGTCGGGCGCGTGCCGCCGCCGGCTCGGGCGACTCGGCCGTCCGACTGGGCTCCGCGGGTGCGAGCCCGGCCCCCGCGACTCCGCTGAGTGCCTCCGCAGAGTCGGTCCCACCGCGCGCGGCTGGCCCCACAGACTCGGCCATCCTCAGCAGCTGACGGATCCGGTCCAGCTCCTGTTGACAAAATACCGCAGACCACGGCTGACATCGACAGGCGCAGCAGACCACGACTGACATCGACAGGACGCCGCAGACCACAGCTGACACTGACAGGCGCAGCAGACCACGGCTGACATCGACAGGCGCAGCAGACCACGGCTGCTGATCGACATCGACAGGATACCGCAGACCATGGCTGACATCCACAGGCGCAGCAGACTACGGCTGACATCGACAGGATACCGCAGACCATGGCTGACATCGACAGACGCAGCAGACCACGGCTGACATCGACAGGAAGAGCAGACCACGGCTGACATCGACAGGCGCAGCAGACCACGGCTGACGTCGACAGGATACCGCAGACCATGGCTGACATCGACAGGCGCAGCAGACCACGGCTGACATCGACAGGATACCGCGGACCATGGCTGACATCGACAGGCGCAGCAGACCACGGCTGACATCGACAGGAAGAGCAGACCACGGCTGACATCGACAGGCACAGCAGACCACGGTGGCTGACATGGACAGGACACTGGTAGTCCCACGAAAGCCGCCAGCCACACCAGCTCTGGCCAGCGAGCACAGCCGGCCGCCAGTAAGCGCCGACATGTACCGGTCACGACGGCTGCATGACACCAGCCGCTGCGCGTGGCTGGCACCAGCGGCCCCCGGCGGCGCTGGCAAGCCCACAGGCATCACAGCACTCACGATCGACGGCGGCGCGCAACGATTCTGAGCGGACCGTGCGTGTCCCAAATCTCGGTTCAAATCCGTATGCGTGCAGTTTTTCCACAGCTCCCCAACCTGCTCACCCCTCCCCAATCACAGCCGCTGAGGTCGTCCAACCGATCACTGGATAACCGACTAGCTAGAAGCCAGCCTTGAACGCGTCGAGGACGCCCCACACGGCCAGCAGCGAAGCACACAACAGCCGAACGTAGCCAAGGACGCCGAATTCAGACACAGCACGCATGCCCTGCGCAGCATGCCATGCTTAATAACACACCGACTACCGCGTGGGGGTAAGCGCACACATGTGGCGGTTAACACTCAGATCGCGCTCAAACGCCAAAAACATAGCACCAGGAGTGTTAATGGGATTCCTAGCCACTGAGCTGCGCTGAAAATATGTAAAAACTGCCATAAACTGCAAAACCCACAGAAAACAATTTGTTCATATGCAACAGCGCTGTAAAATTACATTTGACCCCACTGACTGCGGCCCGTGGCATAGCTCACCGGCGTCGAGGTGGCGAGGGAGTCGGCCAGCAGCAGAGCCGGGCGCAATCGGGCCGCGTCCAGCAGCTCCGTCAGCACGCGCTGGACGGCCGACCGCTCGGAGGGCTGTGGCGGCCGGCTGACGGCCGGCAGCGGACGGCGGTACAGCAGCGGATCGCCGGCCGGCCTCCCGTCCTCAGGCACCGGCTCATCAATCTGACGGGGCAGCCGGACCGGCCGGTCAGCCGGGCACGGCCACAGCTGACCAATCAGCGGCCAGCACCGGAGTCGGTGGGCGCCCGGGGAAGAAACGGCCAGTCAGGGGCAGAACAGGCCGGTCAGAGGGCAGGGTCAGAGCCGGCCAGCCAGGGGCCAGGGTCAGAGCCGATCAGTCGGGGGCCAGGGTCAAAGCAGGCCAGTCAGGGTCAGAGCAGGCCAGTCAAGGGCCGGGGTCAAAACCGGCCAGTCAAGGGGCAAAGCCGGCCAGTCAGGGGGCAGGACCGGCCAGTCAAGGGGCAGAGCCGGCCAGTCAGGGGCCAGGGGTAGAGGCGACCAGTCAGGGGCCAGGGTCAGAGCAGGCCAGTCAAGGGTCAGGGTCAAAACCGGCCAGTCAAGGGGCAGAGCCGGCCAGTCAGGGGGCAGAGCCAGCCAGTCAGGGGGCAGGACCGGTGCCGTCCAGTCAGCGTCAAGCGCTTCTCGAACTACACCAACGGAAGCCGGCAATGTGCAGCTTGGTTGCAGGAGTCCAGGCCAGCCAGCAGATGGCCAGGAGGCAGCGGCTGATCGGCACTACAGGGCCGTCCGGCCAGACCGTCGGAGCGCCCACTGACCTGCTCGCCTTGCACGCGCGCCCAACAGTAGGCCGTCCAGACGTCCCTCTCCAGCGCGGCGACGTCACAGTCGCACTGCTGCTGCCGCTGCGGGCCCAGCCAGGCCCAGGCCAGCCTCAGGCACGCGTACCTGCCGGACAGCGACACAGGTGACGTGGCGCTGCCACGCCCAGCCGGACGGAGCGGACGCGGCCTGGGCGCGCGGCTGTCAGCCAGTCCCACCTCTCGGCGGCGCTGCGGGCGTCGCGGCCGTGGCGGCCGAAGAAACGGACGGCCTCCGCCGGCGCCAGCTGTTTGTCGGCGAACCGGTCGCTGCACTGGCGCCAGAACAATGCCCGGTCCTCGTCAGCCACCTCCTGCAGGTCATCAGACACCTGGGCAGGGGACAGGTCATCAGACACCTGGGCAGGGGACAGGTCATCAGACACCTGGGCAGGGGACAGGTCATCAGACACCTGGGCAGGGGACAGGTCATCAGACACCTGGGCAAGGAACAGGCTACCAGACACCTGAGCAGGGAACGGGTCATGAGACAACTGGGCAGGGAACAGGTCATCAGACACCTGGACAGGGGACAGGTCATCAGACACCTGGGCAGGGGACAGGTCATCAGACACCTGGGCAAGGAACAGGCTACCAGACACCTGAGCAGGGAACGGGTCATGAGACAACTGGGCAGGGAACAGGTCATCAGACACCTGGACAGGGGACAGGTCATCAGACACCTGGACAGGGGACAGGTCATTAGACACCTGGGCAGGGGACAGCTTATCAGACACCTGGGCAGGGGACAGGTCACCAGACACCTGGGCAGGGGACAGCTTATCAGACACCTGGGCAGGGGACAGGTCATCAGACACCTGGGCAGGGGACAGGTCACCAGACACCTGGGCAGGGGACAGCTTATCAGACACCTGGGCAGGGGACAGGTCATCAGACACCTGGGCAGGGGACAGGTCACCAGACACCTGGGCAGGGGACAGGTCACCAGACACCTGGGCAGGGGACAGGTCATTAGACACCTGGGCAGGGGACAGGTCATTAGACACCTGGGCAGGGGACAGGTCACCAGACACCTGGGCAGGGGACAGGTCATTAGACACCTGGGCAGGGGACAGGTCATCAGACACCTGGGCAGGGGACAGGTCATCAGACACCTGGACAGGGGACAGGTCATTAGACACCTGGGCAGGGGACAGCTTATCAGACACCTGGGCAGGGGACAGGTCATCAGACACCTGGGCAGGGGACAGGTCACCAGACACCTGGGCAGGGGACAGGTCATCAGACACCTGGACAGGGGACAGGTCATTAGACACCTGGGCAGGGGACAGCTTATCAGACACCTGGGCAGGGGACAGGTCACCAGACACCTGGGCAGGGGACAGCTTATCAGACACCTGGGCAGGGGACAGGTCATCAGACACCTGGGCAGGGGACAGGTCAACAGACACCTGGGCAGGGGACAGCTTATCAGACACCTGGGCAGGGGACAGGTCATCAGACACCTGGGCAGGGGACAGGTCACCAGACACCTGGGCAGGGGACAGGTCACCAGACACCTGGGCAGGGGACAGGTCATTAGACACCTGGGCAGGGGACAGGTCATTAGACACCTGGGCAGGGGACAGGTCACCAGACACCTGGGCAGGGGACAGGTCATTAGACACCTGGGCAGGGGACAGGTCACCAGACACCTGGGCAGGGGACAGGTCATTAGACACCTGGGCAGGGGACAGGTCATTAGACACCTGGGCAGGGGACAGGTCACCAGACACCTGGGCAGGGGACAGGTCATTAGACACCTGGGCAGGGGACAGGTTATCAGACACCTGGGCAGGGGACAGGTCACCAGACACCTGGGCAGGGGACAGGTCACCAGACACCTGGGCAGGGGACAGGTCACCAGACACCTGGGCAGGGGACAGGTCATTAGCTACCTGGGCAGGGGACAGGTCATCAACCATTGCAGACAGCAGAAGGTATCTCACATCGGCAGCCAGTGTAGGTAATTACACGCCTGAGAACATTGCAGGCCATCAAGACTCTGAAGACAGCACAGGTTACCGGGCAACTAGGGAGGCACATGTCACCAAGCGTCATAGGGCAATAGAGACCAGCAGCTACAGGAAACAACACAGGTCACGTTAAGAACGCACAGGTTACCAGTAACCCGATCACAAAATACCACAGCCCGCTGGTTATAAACAGAACAAAGGTTATCAGCACAGCCGTTCGCCGACAACTACAAGGGTGACCAAGAAGCATGGCTTCAGTTGCCCTCATGTGACAGCTGTTGAAGCGGTTCAAGCCGCGATGATGTCGTCGGCGTGTGGGCGCCGCCCAGCCTCCCTGTACAGGTCACCAGCACCGGCGCGTGGGCGCCGCCCAGCCTCCCTGTACAGGTCACCAGCACCGGCGTGTGGGCGCCGCCCAGCCTCCCTGTACAGGTCACCAGCACCGACGTGTGGGCGCCGCCCAGCCTCCCTCCACAGGTTACCAGCACCAGGATGTGAGGCTCGGACCATGACACGCTCAAGTCTGGGTCAGATACCTGGGTGAGGACCACCTGGTCCGGCGAGACCCCAGCGGCCACAGCCAGCCGTTCGGCCAGCTCCAGCTTACGCCGCGCGCATAGCGCCGCCACCACGCGGCTGCATTCCAAGCGCAGTTTTTCCGGGCCGCCGGC